ATGTCCTTCTTGTAGTGAGGGGCCCAAAACTGAACACAGTACTCGAGGTGTGGCCTCACCAGTGCCGAGTACAGGGGCACTATCGCCTCCCTGGTCCTGCTGGTCACACGATTCCTGATACAAGCCAGGATGCTATTGGCCTTCTTGGCCACCTGGGCACGCTGCTGGCTCATATTCAGCTGGCTGTTGACCAGCACTCCCAGGTCCTTTTCTGCCAGGCAGCTCTCCAGCCACTGTTCCCCAAGCCTGTAGCGTTGCCTGGGGTTGTTGTGACCCAAGTGCAGGACCTGGCACTTGGCCTTGTTGAATCTCGTATGATTGGCCTCAGCCCATCCATCCAGCCTGTCCAGATCAACAGGCTCTACAGAGGTAGAGCCTTCCTTCCCTCCAGCAGATCAATGCTCCCACCCAACTTGGTGTCATCTGCAAACTTACTGAGGGTGCACTCGATCCCCTCGTCCGGGTCATTGATAAAGATATTAAACTGAACTGGCCCCCAGCCCTGGGGAACACCACTTGTGACCGGCCGCCAACTGGATTTAACTCCATTCACCACAACTCTTCGGGTCCGGCCATCCAGACAGTTTTTTGCCCAGCAAAGAGTACGCCCATCCATGCCATGAGCAGCCAGATTGCAAGGGTCCTTCGTTCTAATCACTTAGTGATCAGTCTTTAAAAATTTTCTTACTGCAGCCAAGAACTGTCTTGCTTCTCCTTCCCATCTGTGTTGTCTTGCTTTTCACCTGCACCACATTTAACACTGTTTACCATAGAAAGCAACAGTAAGCCTCTCTAAACTTATAGAAAACTATCAGTTATTTTTGTCTATCTATCTCCTGTAGTCTGTACCCAAATGGTCAGCTGAGTGCTACGGCCAGTGGAAAGGCAACACTGGATCTGGGGAGGGAGGAACTCTGTGGTCAGGCTGGCCTCTGGAGCCACCAGAAAGTTGTTGCATTGGTTTAGGTATTTTTGTTATACCCCCTTTAGCATAAGACCTGGCTCTCCAGATGTCAGATGGTTAGAGAAGTAAAATGAAAAGCCTTTTGCTTTCTGGGCCTGTCTGCCTTCCTCAGTATCTTCCCTACCCGCGCAGTTTTTAGAGTTTACTTTCCCCATTGTTTGTGTCATAGATATTGCAGGGGTTTGGGGATGTTTTTGTTGTTTTTTTTGTTGTTTGGGTGGGTTGTGGTGTTTTGTCTCGTTTTTGGTTTTGTTTTTTTTTTTTCAATTGGACAAAAAATACACTGATAGGCATTTCTACAAGGAAGTGAGTAGTAGTGTTCACACAAAATATACAGAGCTTGTCTCCATTAATAATATAGGAGTTTAACTAGACTGCTCCTCCCATATCTGGTGCCAGAAATCCAGAGGGGATTTCTCTCACTTTCTATGGGCTGTTTCCTGATGCCCATTCAAGCTTTATCCAGGCCTTTGCCTCCTTCACAGATGCATGGAAACTTGCAAGGCCATGGGGCAATGGCCAGTGAAACCCCAGTGCTGAGGTATGCCTTTGCTTTCAAAAGCAGTATTTATTTTGGGTTTCTTTTGGTGTTTTTTTTTTTCTTCCTGGTTCCATGCCCACTGAGTGCAGTTGTTACATTTAAATCATAATTGATATTCTTATCCTGTCAATTTAATCTGATAATTTCTTTTTTCAAACTCGTTTCTAAAGAGAAGATTTTTGGCTTGTAGCTGATCTCATAGGTCAAAACTTAGTACAGTTAAGCCTTTTTCTGAGTTCTTAACAAAACAAGTTGAGGAATATCTGCTCTGGCATTATCGGCGTTTTGTTTGTACGTTCCAGTTAGACCAGGCATGGCCCATAATAAGCTAAACATTGTTTATCTAGTGGCAGACTTCATTAAACACTAACACGTTATGCTTTAGAAAACTAAAATGTATTACCTGGAATATCTATTCACTTATTCCTACAGAATGCAGAGTATTCATTACAACAGAAAACAGAAGCAATATCCTCTTTTGAAGGAAAAACAAATGAGATGATGTCCTCTATGAAACAAATGGAAGAGAGGTAAGAATTACACGCTCAAAAAGTCAACGCTGAAATCAGCAGAAAGTTTCCAACTGAAACCTTTATACCATGACCTTCCGTACGCCTCCTATGGACATTTGGGCATGTGTGCCAGCATAATGTTTTCCCAGGCAAATATGGCCATAATTGACACATTCGAAAACCATAGCTCTTTCCATAGGCAGGCTGTTTAAAAACATGTTGACTTTAGTTTAAGAACAGGTATGACTCTTGCTTTGGGGTTGTTTTTTGCAGAAGCAGTTGCTTTCAAAAGCAATTTTTTTCTCCACCAGCATTTTCAGTTCAAGCTTTTATAAAGATCTGTATGGTAAATCTAAAAGAACAAAATGAGAGGGTGTAGGTAAGAAGTATGTGAATTGACAACAAATGTACATGTTCCTTACTTTGTAGATTGCAGCATGCAGAAAAGGCAAGGCAGGCTGCGGAAGAAAGATGCAACAAGATGAAGCAAGAGCTTGCTGGCAGGCTTGACACTTGTCGGCAACAGATGTCTCAGCTGGATAGCAAATGGTATTAAATCTGATCAGGTGTTTTTCCTTCCCTTCTGTCATTTCTTTAAGAAATGCTTCCTGCTCCTTTTGTGCTAAGATCTAAAGAGGGGTAGGTTTGAATTATGTTGGGTTCAGCAAGTATTGACAGAAATATGCAAGATCTAGGAAGGCGCTTCTGTAAAGTGCGCAGTTAGCATGAGGATTTTGAAATGCTTTTTCCAGAACATCCAATTTAGAGCACAGAGTGCCGGTAGAAATCTGGTCATTCTGACTAGCAATGGAGCTTTCAATTGCTTTTTTACTAAATCAGGAGATAGACCTGGTCATGCTTGTAGGCTGAGCATGTAAGTGTCTGTCATCCAAATGGATTGGGGTTTTTGGAGGGGTTTAGGGAGTGTCCTGGTGTTCTTAGGGAATGTTAATCCTCTAAAGATTTCTAATACCTATAGAAAATACTTATTTCACTGTTCAGACTTCAGGGTAGAGTGTCATTTTAAAATACGGCTGTTTAAACACAGGTAGTCAAATATGTCCTTGTGGGAACTGGTTTTGGTTTTTTGGTTTGGGGTTTTTTTTCTTCTATTTTCTTCTAGCCATTCATTGCTGCTTGTTTTCTGTGACCTGAAAATGCTAATACACTTTTTGATGTCTGCTGCCATAACATCCCCGTTCTTTCCTTTCCCAGAACACCACTCTAGTTTTTGCCCTCTTTTGGACAAGGTTTCTTCTTAAGTGCTATAGGATATTTTTCTGCTATAGGGTTTCTTAGAATGAATTATTTTTAAATAGCTCAACTCTGGAAAAGGAGTTAAAATCTGAAAAGGAACAGAGACAAACTTTGCAAAGAGAACTACACCAAGAGAAGGATGCTACCACTCTGCTTAAAACAGAATTGCAACAAATGGAAGGCCTAAAAAAGGTATGCACAGTGCAAACGTGCCCAGTGCTCAGGATTAAAGCTGACTTTAGAACCAGTGTTCAGGATTAAAGCTGACTTAGAACCAGTGCGATGTTTGCATCTGTAGTAATTTCTTCTGTACCACTCTCCTCCTCTGAGTGGTTTCAAAACCTTGGCTGACGTAATGCAAGTCTGCACGTGACGCCAAGAGAAGGAACTTGGAGCAATATAGGGCTCAAGCAATGAAAATAGCTTAGCTAGAGGTGGCTGAGGAGGTTTCTGTCTGCCCTGCCTTAGCTGTGCAAGTGTCTGAGCCATTCGTCAGTCAGCAGCTGAAGCTGAGGTGGGATAGCTGGGGACAAAAAGCTCATCAGCTGTCCCATGGTGAGATACCCCTGCTCAGGTAGGACATGGCAAATTCAGAGCTTTCAGTCACTGTGTGAAGTCTTTCAACTGCATGTAGTAAAATAGGAACCCGTTTTCAAGCATTCAAAACAACTGAATGCGATTTATTTTTCACGCATGAACATTCTTATTGATCTAAAGAGAATTTGCTCCTGTGTATCGGGCAGTTTAGATTTTGGAGGCACAATTGTACAGCAGTATCTGTCTATATGCTCATGTGTGGGCATAGGACTGCTGCATTCTAGCTATGTTCAAGGACTTTGAAAGCCTGAAAATCTTCCTCTCTTTCTGGTAAATACGGGTAAATGATTTCATTGTGCTCTACAGGAACCATGGGTAGTTCCCTCATGTAATTCTAAACATCAAGCCTTAGAAATAGGTAGCTTTGTAAAGGACCTTATTCTTGTGAACTGCTTGGGTAGTTTGGATAGACTGTCTGATCTAGGTTATAGGTCAAACCTGGCGCACATAAAATTTGATGTTTGTGCTTAATTTTATAGGAACTGAGAAAACTGCAAGATGAGAAGCAGCAGTTAGAGAAAGTCTGTGAGGAGCAGGAGCAAGCTCTTCAGGAAATGGGACTTCATCTCAGCCAGTAAGTTCTGGGAACTGAACTCCTGTAAGTGACGTAACCTGGAGGATGGAGTATCAAACTAATACAGATAACTTTAAAATGCATCCAGTTATAAAAAGCAACAAACATGAGAATTTTAGGAGGCATTTACTATGCATGGGAAACTAAACAGCCATGAAATAAAAGTGAGGGAAGGTCCTTGCATGAGTAAGCTGGCTGAGATGGCAAACAATACAGGAAATGCGCTGTTCTTACAGTGGCACTGTGGCTTTCCCACATTCTTCTGAATATACTGAAAAGGGGGCAAAGCCTGAGGTGACAGAGCTTCCTAGCGAGACTGAGCGGTTCGGAGTTGTAACAGGAAGCTGACTGAAGAATTAGAGTTTAGACTCAGTGGCTGGACACTGGAATGGCAGGTAAAATTGAACACAGCTAAATGTAAAGTCATGCAGAGGGAATTATTTTCTTTTTTCCAGATCAAAGTTAAAGATGGAAGATATTAAAGAAGTAAATAAAGCGCTAAAGGTAATCTACATCCCGTGGATATTCTGACTGAGCATATGCATTTCATTTAACACCTTCAAATTTCACCACGGTTATCCTACTTTAAAAGATAGCTTTTGAAAAATACCAACAATGTTGGTAAACTGCCTTTGAATTTTTATTTTATAAATTTATTTGTAGCTACAGTGAGGTTTTCATTCCCATTTTCTAGGGTCATACCTGGCTGAAGGATGATGAAGCAACTCACTGCAAGCAATGTGAAAAGGAATTCTCTATCTCAAGAAGGAAGGTAGTGGTGTTCAGTGAATTTTTTCCTTTTTTCTGTGACAAAACAAAAGTTGTGCTGTCATATAGTTCGCTAGGGAAGACTGACGCTGCTTCAGTTCCAGATCTTGTTGGCATGATAACTCCATAGAGAAGTAATTCGGTACTTCCTGTCCTAAAAATAACGTTCTGCTCGGGCCCTTTCCTCGGTAGGGACCTGCTGTGGGATGTGTGCTCTCACGATGTGGTTCATCCCCCTTCCCTGGTGAGCTGCATGCAGCGAGGACTGGACGCTGGCAGGCCATGCTGTGCCTTTCAGTCGCAGGGGACTACTGCCGGGGTCCTGCTCCGTGGTTCGGGACAGCTCGGTGTGCCTGCGCGGGGCACCTGGCAGCCCAGGCACCAGAGCCAGGCCTGCGCACGCTTCTCTGAAGGCCTGGGCTTGACTGCGCGGTGCCCCCACCCGGGGTGGGCCGGAGAGCTGGGAAAGGGCAGCAGGGCCGCACCTCCAGCCCCTGGCCAGGCCTGCTCCGCCTGCGAGCCAGGACGAGCAGCTCCTGGGCCTGGAGGGAAGCCGGGCCGTGCAGGGATCGCACCGTAGCCCTCTACACAGGGCCGGGAGTGCTGCTGGGAGGGTGGGGCCGGTTGGGAGGCGGAGGATGAAGTCAGTAGACTCCAAAATCTTGTGTGAGGTCTGATTTCTCTCTGCCCGATGCTCAGTTTTAGGCAGCTGTGCTTATTGTAACTCTCTGTTTGTAGCATCACTGCAGAAACTGTGGGGACATCTTCTGCAACACCTGTTCCAGTAATGAACTTGCACTGCCATCGTACCCTAAACCTGTCCGTGTCTGTGATACTTGTCACACTTTACTACTTCAGCGGTGTTCATCTAATTCCTCCTAAGGCTTTCATAACCTCAACAGGACCACTTTAACATTGGAAAAGTAGCCATTATTTTTTTAATTCTGAACTCCGGGCGTCTTCTGTGCAGCAGACTGTCTGGTCTCTAGTATTTTCCACCGTAAGACAGAGCAGTGTAAAATAACGTGTAGG